AAATCTAACATTGTTTGATTCAGTATATTRATAGCTATAGCGCATATCGAACGATTTTTGATTTTTGAAAAATTGAGAAAATGGCGGACATTTTTCGGAAAAAAAAGAAAAAACACGTTTTTTTTTACTGTTTTTGGCCAAAAAAAAATAGTTAAAATCAAAATCTAAAAGAACCCTCGATATGCGCTATAGCTATAAGAGTAAATAATATGTGGTAAAAATTTCAGAGGGATCGGACTAGTAGTTTCGGAGATTTTATCAACAAGGCATTGGAAAGCGTCGTTTTGAGAAAAACGCGTTTAAAGTCTTTTTCAAGGAAAAATCGTGAAAAAATTTTACCTGTTCTTAATCAGCGATACCTGCACTATACATTATACCTTCCTCTTCTTTATAACGTTCATTTTCATCCAAAATAGCGTTTCTGCCTTGCGTCCTGGCTTCTTTAGAGACATTAGTGCTGCGGCGGTTTGCTACACGTATGCGTTCTCTGTCACGTTCAGAAGCAAAGTGCATGGCGCTAGGGCTGATTTTGACTCCCATTACTGACATAATTTTCAAAACTGTTTGAAAACCTTCATTGAAAATACAAGCAGCTGTTTGACAAGCGATTGGAACAATAATTTTTCCGCTAAAGACGTGTTTAGGAGCCATTGCCCAAACGCAGTTGTTGAACGACTCATTGTTGTTCTGCGTGTTTCCACCAAGGCATCTTTCCAATAATTCTTGCTTTGTTATATCTTCGTAGATTGGTTTTAGAATGTCTTGAACATCTTTTGCAAGAGCAGGAGGATGTTTGAAACTTTTAACTGTCTTGTCTCTCACAGCTTTCTTGTACTTGCACCAAGAGTCGGAACAGTACGAATCCTGAGGGTTGCTATCAGTTGAGATTTTATGATAATATCCCGCCCAGATCTCTCTGCGCATTTCTTTCACAGTATCGGGATGCCTTTGAATTGCTAAACTATAGTTGGTTGAGAGTGTTTTCATTAATTTTATTGTTAAATCTTGAGTTTTCACTGTGGGAACTTTCATTACGACCTTGTTTTTCTTCAGTACTTTTTTAGCTACCGTTTTTTTAGCTGCCGTTTTTCGTGCTTGCGTTTTTCGTGCTTGCGTTTTTTTCTCATTTTTCTTTGCAGTTTTTCTCGTCTGTGTGAGAATTTTCTTCGCGTAACTAGCACGCTTAAAAATTCTTTTCGCAACATGCAAGACACATTCTAACTTTTTCACAACAAAATCTTCTCCATAAGGTGTTGTACTGAGCAAGAACTTGAAGGTTTTAGAGTCACCATCTCCTATATAAAAGCCATAACGCACAGCACGCGGTATCAGACCGAGCGGAGTAAGGTAAAGGTCGCAAAAAAGTACAGATACACTGCTCCGATCTTTATAAAATTTTAGTATGATACTTCTAGATATGTATACTTTCGAAAAATGTAAAAAAAAAAAAAATCGATTTTTTGAAAATTCTAATTAGGGTAGACCCCTTAAGTCAGACGTCGACTTAAAACGTGTCATACGTGCCTGATCCTGAAATCGCGGGTCCGGTATCCCATCGACAATGTAGTCGATTATTTCTTCCTCGGGTATCGGAACACGATTGACGAGTACTATTTTCTCATGTAAATAGCTACTGAAGGATTCGTTGTGATGCCACATTCGTGCTTCAAATTCTCTTCTCAAAGTCAATTTACTTTGACGATTAATATAAATACACTTTTTTCATCCGTTGAAGAAGATCTTCCACACTTAAACTGATGTGTTCTGGTTTTGAACGAAACCAATTCAGAGCCGATCCTTTTAGCTTTGAACTGATAACAATCTCTGTGTTATTATCGTCCAGACTATAATAGACTGCAGGCCGATCTAAATAATCGATGGGTCATCTGATGCACCAGGGATGCACCTATATGGGACGATATAGGGGCATAAAATAATAACATTTAGCACTATGCCGTTACTTGTAAGCTGTCCAACTGAGTGCAGGTGAGAATTCAAAAACACAGGTTGACCGGATGCTTTTTTATCAAATGATTTTTTACGGCATTCTTACTTCCTATAGATCCATCGAAAATAATGAGAAAACACGTAGTGCCGTTAAAAAGTAGTAAGCCACAAAGTCGGAAAAAATTTTTGATTTTCTGACAAAACCCCGGGTCTATTACATCATTTGATTATGAACGGCGTTTGTTTCATACAATTTAAATACCTATTCTAATTGATTATTCCGCAACGCCGTGCAAAAATCATGCAACAAGGGAGAAAAATCCAGGGTTAAAATCCACCTTTTTCCACGGGTCTGGGGGATGATCTGAAAAACAACGGCATCAGTTTCAGTTTATTTTTTAGCACTCAGAAGTACTAATTAAAATAATGCCGTTTAAAAATTGTTGTTTTTTGAATGTATATCAATTATTAACTTAATTTAATCGTATATTTGATTTTTACAGCTGTAAAATCATTTGACTCTGTACGGTAACTTGTTTTTTAACATGATATTGCTAAGTACAATTGTTCTGTATTATTGCCGATAAAAAAAAAACTGTTCTAAAAAAAAATATAGAGAAAACAAAAAATGAAATTTTTTCAATTTTTGTAAAAGTTTAAGTTGTCGTACATTAATAAAATATAGCAATTTCCTAAATGGTATTGTTGTTTTAAATAGTATAAGGGTCAATGAATTAAGAAAAAATCATGCCGTTCATTTTAATGCAGACCATATTTTTTAGCAGATAAAAATGACACTACTGTTTTAGGGGGTACTTTATGGTCATCTAATACTGTACGGCATTAACATATTTTTGAAGGGAACAGTTGATAATAGGGAAAAATCATTATGCTGTTTATTTAAAGTAAAACAGTGTGAATATTATATCCAAAAAATAAAAACTATCAAACTCAGTATTAACATTTTTCTATAATTTTTGATGAAATATACTTCAAACATTGTTATAATTTGTTTATATAGAAAATATTAATTAAAAATAAAAAGTACTACAATTTTATTGAATAATTTCACATATGTCTTATTAGTAAACAATAAAATTGCTGATAGCTGACTTAAACTAAACAATATTTATGTGAAAATATATATATTTTTAATTTTATGACTTGCTTATTTATTATTGAAAGTATAATTGAAAATAACTAGTATTGTTAAACTAAAAAGTTGTTGTAAAGAATTTTTTTTTTGTTACGGAATTCCCAGCAAGAAAAAATAAAAGTAAAGTCTATTGCTGTGTATTTGGTTGTACAAACATAGCTTGTCGTGATGAAAAAATTAGGTTTTTTACCTTCACGTAAGTATTTTCAACAATTATTTTTTCTGGTTATTATAAATTGTTAAATCAATAAATTTACTCATGCCTATATTGTTTTTGTGTGTTGTTATAGCTATTGATTCAACTCGAACTTATTTTTAAAAAACAAGTATTCCTACTCAAAATCTTCCTTTAGAATCATCCAAAGAATGTGCTTGTCCTGTAGATCAAATAGATTCTCGAGAAGAAAGAATACGTAGAAGATCAATTAAATTAGTGACAGTTAATGATATTGCAATACTGCAACAACATATTTACAAATACCACTTAAACCAGCCTTGTATGAACAACTCATTCCAATTATTTGACCATTTTTTAATATTCCACCAGTTATTTCATGTGGATTTCCTTTAATATGTGAAATTTGTAAACAAAAAGCTAAAATACTTATAATATTACAATCACGACTTGGTACTTGCCCACACTTAATCACATGTCCAGCATTTAATACACTTTCACTACCAACAAAATTTTTATTGCTTGGTTTTGTAATATGTTTATGTAATATACACATACACATTAGGGTGGGTCAAAAAAATGACTTTTTTTTTTCTCAAGTGCCACGCAAAAATGGGTTCCTAGACACCTTAAAAAAATTCTCGCCCAATATGAGCTCTTAATTTTAATAGGATGATCCTCCGCATCGCAATTTTTTATTTTTTTCTCAGTCCAATAGAGTAAAATTCATACCTCATCATTAATTGATTATACAGAAAAATGTTGTTAAAGAATTTTGTAGGAAATTTAATGCTCTACAAAAAAGGTATTTTATATATTTTTTCCGTAAACCTCACCATTTGAATGATATTGAAGATTTAAATTTGATGATTTTTAGACAAATCTCATTTTTGCTTATGAATTTTATAACTCGACAATAAATGACTATTAAAAAGTGCACAATACAAATTTTTGTAGGAAATTAACTGCTCTATAAAAATGGTATTTTATGTTTTGGCGATTAAATTAAGCGTTCAAAAGATATTCATCATCAAACTTTCATGCGTACTGATTTTTGTCTCTGAACTGGTCTATTGTACGGTCCAGGCATCGCAGATTAAGTTTAGGTAAGAATTTTTAACGATTTTGAGTAAAATAAACTTTAAACGTGTTTTTCTCGAAACTACGTTTTGAAATACTAGCTCCATCGTATCTCACGAACCAGTAAGCCGATTCTTATAAAATTTAATCCACATATTCTACACATGAGCTGTAACAAAGTGACGCTAAATCTTTTCTTAATTTTAATTTTTACTATTTATTTTTAGTCAAAAACAACGGAAAAAAAGGTCATTTTAACGTTTTTTTGTAATTTGTCCACCATTTTTTTATTTATTGATAAAATTTTTATATATTACTGTCACTTTGTAGCTGAAGTCATACAGAATATAAAACCATTTTACTTTTATGTTTCAGGTAAGCCATTCTCAAGTTCTGATGGAGCTACCAAAGCACTAAAGTTTTAAGGTGTTTTTTTAAACTACTGTTTTTGCAATAAAAAATTAATTAAAATGAAAAAAACAAAAATTCATTTATATAGTTTAAGACTCAATTTAACAAACCCAACAACTTTTATATCGGTATCTTTTATAGTTTTCTTGGAAAAAATTCGCGAAAATAGCCTTTTTTTTGGGTGCTTCGAGTAGAACGTCCCCTTAAATCTTTAATCCGCCTACATGATAAAGGATGAGGGTTGTGAAAGAGGTTAGGTTAGCCTCCTGTCCGACGTAAAAAACCTACGACTCAAGAACTACAGACTCAAAGAATTTCGATGACTCGCCTGGCGAGTCGCGATGAGAAAGAGGCAATTGTGCCTATTTTGAAGAAAGAAGAAGAAGATATTGGAAATTCCGCAAACAACATTTCTTAAAATAGCAGCTGAACGTGGACCTTTTATCAATTAATCAAAATCATCATCTGTTTATATGGCTAAACTGACCCTGATCAATTTACTTCAATGCATTTCTATGGTTGGAAGATGGTAAGCGTATCTTAATCTTACTATTTAAAACTTGATTTGAAACCTTATTTTTACTGGACACTATATAATAATATAAGATATAATAAAATATAATTTGTATTATACAAATATTAAAAAATACTTTTAAATGTTAAATATACATTATAATTATATGTTATGTATAATAAAAAGAGTTGAGAATAGGCCAAGTACTGGAACTTTGGTCGTCCGGGATAAAACTTTTGAGCGGGTCAGCAACTTTAGATATTTAGGATCGATCATAAACTAGACGAACGAAATTAACGAGGAACTTCAGAAAAGAATCAATCTAGGCAACTTATATTTTTATTTGGTTAACAAATTACTCATCTCGCGGTTGCTATCTAGGCGATTAAAAATCAGGATATACAGGGCAATCATCCTGTCGGTAGTCCTTTATGGTAGCGAATCGTGGTCGCTTATGTTACGGGACGAAAAGAAATTGAGGCTTTTCGAAAAGAAAGTTGTTCGTAAAATGTTCGGTGTAAAACGCGCGATGAGGAAATGGGCGAATAGAGAAAACTCCATAACGTTAAAATACATCGATTGTACAACAAATCAGACATTATCAACGTTGTAAAATCACGCTGATTAAGATGGACGGGCTGGTCACGTGGCGCGCATGGGGAAGGATCGAACGGCGCACAAAATATTGATCGGTATACCAAACGGGAAAAGACCACTAGGTAGACCGAAACGTAGATGGGAGGATAATATTAGAAGGGACTTAAAAGAAATAGGATACGAAGACCGCGAATGGAAGGATCGCGCTCAGGGACGGGAACAATTGCCCCGGGATTTGGTATTTGCGGCAATGAACTTTCCACTTCCTAATGCCAGTTAACCCTTTCGCTACTACGAGCGACTATAGTCGCTCTCCATGTGATGCCACTCAGGTACTACGGGCGACTATAGTCGTTTTCCATGTGATGCCACTCAGGTACTACGGGCGACTATAGTCGCTTTCCATGTGATGCCGCTGAGATACTACGAGCGGCTATAGTCGCTCCCGCTAAAGATGTCGCGTAATTGTATATATGATAAGCGCCTGCAGTTGCTATTCATAGAGTATCTTACTCTAGACATGCCGCGTGAGTCTTTCTTTTTCCATCATTTGTTTTTTACGGGTTCAATAATAAACCAAATGCCTCGATCAACGATCCCATCCGTACGATGATTATCGTACGCGTACGATAATTTGAGGCCCTGTACGATCAAACGAACTAAAGTCTCTGGGATCACTGGCCTCGATCATCAGTCTTACGACACCGGCTCGAACGGTCTGTGCGGATTACGTTAGTGCTTACAAATCGTAAGAACCCGTTGCAAAAGTGTGTAGTCTGTACTAAAAATGATAAGAGGAGGGAATCGCGATATCAATATAAGATTTGTGATGTTGGCCTATGTGCAACATCGTATTTTGAAAAATACCACACGCAGTATCATTATTAAAATCAATTCTAATCATACGCTTATATCATGTTGTATAATATTATTATATTGTGTAATATCATTTGATCTCAGTAAATAAAAGTGCGCATGTTAATAAATTATAAATACTAAGTTTTAAAACAAGTTTTTTCGTCGAAAGTACCAGCCAAGAACGCAGGTTACAATAAGGCATTGATGTGACCGCTGCGATCGGTTGCGTGCACCGTGCACTGTTTCGGTGTAGCGCACCGTACTGCGGGAGTACCACGGCGGAGATCCGCCCCGTAGCGAAAGGGTTAATAATAATAATAATAATATGTATAATAAAAAATTTCATATTTCTAGAATTTAAAAACTGATATGTACTGTTTGCGAACAGAATTAGATACAAATAAACTTAACAGTAGTAAAAAGAACAAAATCAATGCACAAATGATAAAGAAATAAATAAAGAAACGCAAAGTGACAAAAAATTCAATGAGAATATAGATAAGGATGATAGTGATGATGAGGATGATAATAATAGTCTTGTTTCAGATTTCGAATTTTGGGGAAAAACTGGACAATTACTCACGTAGAGTGTACGAAGGAAATACTTGGAGGCTTTAATATTTGTGGAACAACAAGTGGAGACCATCATTTTTCTCCAGCACTATGAGTATACGTGATTTTACTGAGATTCTCATCTCGATACATTCATCTCGATAAAAGAAAAGAGAGGAGTCAAAGTTTGCAAATAGAAAAAATTCGCTTTGGTCTCAACAGTTTGGGACAAATTTATTGATAACAGTCATAATTGCTTCAAACTGGGGGGAGCTTGTATTACCGTGGATGAGCAACTCTTTTCAACGAAGGCTAGATGCAGATTTAGCCAGTATATGCCAAACAAACCCCATAAATTTGGCATAAAATTTTGGCTGGTGTCTGATGTACAAACGAAATATGTGGCAAGTGGCTTTCTGTAATTAGGAAAAGATGAGGCTCGAAATGCATCAACCCTCCTAAGCGAATTTATCGTAATGAAACTTCTTAAACCGTATACCATGAAGGGTAGAATTGTAACAACCGATAATTTGTTTAAAAGTATTTTTTGACTTTAAAATTAAGATGTAAAAATACTTCGTTGCTTGGAACAATACGCGCAAACAAGAAACAACTGCCGAAAATTTGCAAATAGAAAAAAGACAGCATAGCTCGTTTCTCAGCATTGTTGTACCAATCATATAGATGCACATTTACCGTTTACAAGAGCAAACCAGATTAAAAAATACTTATACTAAGACTACAAGTATTTGCAGTACATATAAAAAAAAGTGTATGCGGAAAGTGTTTAAGGGGACACGTCAACAAAAAAATCGATTTTTTTTTCGATTTTCTGAAAGAATATTATTTCAAAAATATTTCTTCAAATTTTGGTAAAGATCCGCGCATTATTTACGAAATTGTAGTAGTTTAAACGGAGCGCGCCATAGCGCTCCAAGTAAGTTGCCAAAACTTTAAACGTTAATTTCTTCTATTCGCGTTTTTAAAACGGTTGCCCTCGCTGCGTCCAGACCATTTATCCGATCCTTACCAAATTTTGTACAGTATACTAGATACACGTATCTAGGGAATGAACGAAAGGATTTTTCGTAAAAATGTCAATTTTTTTTTTTTCTCAAAAACTCGGCGATTTTTCTGCAAAAATGTCAATTCTTTCGCAAAAAGTCGACTATTTCTAGAAAAATTAAAAAATCAAAATTTCCTGCCGTTCATTCCCTGCGCCAACATCTCTACTAAAGGATARCACTCGGTTTTTTTGTTTCTGATGAACAAATTTTTGCCAGTGAGGGCAACCGAAAATCACCTTTTTTTTTTGGACTCTTAGAAAAGTGGCCACAGACAACACAATTTACAATATTTTTACACACAAAAAATTGTGAATATAGTTCAGATATACACTAAACCACAAAGTGGCCACAGACAACACAATTTACAATATTTTTACACACAAAAAATTGTGAATATAGTTCAGATATATAACTTACATATACGAAAGATTTGTATTGATATTAATAAAACTGGCTGCAAAAAAAAATTCACAAAAAAAACCGCTTTTTTTTTAAACTCGAAGGTGACGTGTCCCCTTAAGTCTAATTTCCATAGTAAAAAAGAAAAAGAAAAGAGAAAAAGGATTTCCTATATAAACCACAGAATTATTATGATTTAATAACACAATGTAGAAAACATACTAAATCTATTTTACATGAAATAAAACGACAGAATTTCGTTTTAACAAAAAATCCTCAAAACGCAATCAAAAAAAACAGATAGGAAGAAACACTAATAGAGAAAAGGTAAATTACTGGCAAATATGTTGGATGAGGTTTCTTAAAAGTGCACTATACATTATTTTATATAAAACATCGACGCGCGCGCGAAGGACAAAGAATTTAAAACTGTAAATTACCTACACGTCCTAAAAAATCGATAAAACTTGAAAAAATAGACCCCCTCGCGCCTTTGTATCAAGATATCATCATCAGGATCAGGATCAGACTTATTAGTTATGAAAAATATAAAGATATCAAGTAGTTATTACCTTATATACCTCCTGTGCATCATGAATATTTCAAAACACTGCCATATGCAGAGCATAAGTAAATACTACTAATATCTTGCAATTTTAACAATGTAATTACCGTATAAAATTAAAAATACTCTTTCTATTTTATATCTTGTCATTATTTGTAAACAAAATTGGATTAATATAAAGTTGTAAATTTGGAAAGTGGTGTAAGTCCACTTGCAGCCAGTAAATATACATTAATTTAGTCAAATTTGACTAAAACAAATTGATATAACAATATTACATATTGATAAATCAGTAAAAATGTTGCCAAACTTCATATAATTTGTCTACATTTTTTAATTAACAGATATGCTAACTTTTATTTTTTTCGAAACAAGAGAAACTGGACTTACGCCACTTTCCAAATAAACGGTCCATATAAATAAAGGAATAAGATTTGTTATGTATATATGTGGGGGAGTGTTGAATATCAAAGAGTAACCACAGATAAGTAGGCAGGCAACAAAAGACTATCGAAATAAAGAAAGACGGTGTTTGGACTGCTCTTTGAAGTGAAATAGTTGTGTGTGTAAGTCGGTGTGAGCTAGAAGGTTCTCGAGCGATATCAGTGATTTGTTTATTGGACCGAGCTGGATGCGTTATAAATATCTATGAGCGACTAGCGAACCAGGAATAGGAGATAAAAAACCAAACAACAAAAACCTCTATAATCTCTGGATATCTTAAAGATATCGTATGGAAAGACAAACATATGAGCCTCAAAAGCAATATACGGATATTCAAAACTTGCGTTAGACCTGTATGACCTAGTATGAACTAAGCAGGAGAAACAAGGACAGAGTTCGTGATAATAAAGCGTATTCTGAGAACTACGGAAATAAAGACACTTCGAGCTATAACAGGGAACTCACTGAGGGATAGAAGGAAGAATAAAGAAATAATAGAATAGAATAAGGGCATGTGGGACCCAAGATGTTGTAAGGTGGATTAGAGCTAGAAGAAGAGCATGGCGTGACCATGTAGACAAAATGGACGACGAAAGGCTCCCGAAAGTGGCGTAATCAGGGAAATTTGGAACAATAAGACCACCAAAACGGTGGTATGAAAGCTGGATGTAGACATTTTTCTCTATGAAGAGATAGTTTTTTATTCGGTAAACATCAACAAAAAGAAAAATATTATCAATTGAAAAGAAAGGTTTCATCTGCTTCTATTGCAGACAGTTTGCGCATTTATTTTGCTATTTTATGTTGATTATACTAGCAACGCAAGACGAGAAAATTCGTGAGCAGTCCTTAAAGTGTTAATTGGGCCAAACTGACTTGTATATCCTTCAGATAACTCAATTCTGCATCAAGTAAGGATATAACAGCTTAGTTGAAGAAAAGGTCCTAAAAACTAATGTCAACTCTAAGGTTTTCTAACGATTTAAAAGATATTGTTTCAAAAGATTGTTATTCTGATATTTTAGAATTAGTTCGTATAGACCTGAAGAGGCCACATAAAACTACAGCTTTCGATTGCTCACAATATTTTCTAACATTTATTGATGATAATAATAAATGCGCGTTAACACGTATGTAATAGAGAAATATAATTGGACCATTGTTATACATTGATAAAGGAACAAGATTAGATATTAGTTGTAGCGTAAATCATTTAAGTCGTTTCCAAAATTGTTATGATGAAACACATTACAAATATACATTGAAAATTCTAAAGTATTTGTATTGAGAAATAAACTTAAAGTATCATACAAAAACGGTTTAAATGCTAACGCGATGAATTGTCATGTTGATGCTGATTAGATTGGAGATAAAAATGATAGAAAATCCACGACTGAGTATAAGAATTTTTGAAAATGTTGCAAACTGGAAATCTAGAAAGTAAGGAAGCGTTACTAAATCTTCAACATCTGCTGAATATGTAGTTTTTCAGAAACTGTGAGTGAAATTAAATTAATTAAAAATTTATTGAAAGAATTGAAGATAAAAATTGAAAAACTTATTAATATTTATGAAAATTATTCTGGAGCAATTGCAATAGCAAATTCAATAATATGACCAAAAAATCAAAGTATATAGAAATACATTATCATTTTATAAACGAATTTTATGAACAAAAAATTATAAAACTAGATTCAGAAAATAATATAACAGATATTTTTACAAAACCTCTAGAACGTAATAAATTTGAACAGCTTAGAATAGTATTAAGAATTTTGTAATGAGTTTTCGACGCTTAACTTTAATAATGTGTGTTGAAATATTATATTTATTTTGTCAAGCGTAAGTGTTTCAGTCGAGAGTTAATAGCGGAAAAAGACGATTAGGAAATTAAATGTGGCACCTATGTCGCGTGTGGTGATATGAGTATGAGTATGTATGTATGTATGACAATTTATTGTAGAATGAAAGAGAAACAGAGATATCTTTAGGCTGGTTGGTATGCATGTGTTTAGTTTGTAAGGCGGCACCATAGCGCAAGACTCGGTCTGTGGCAGGTGCAGCGAAGGGGAGGATACCCTCCTCTATCTCATAACTCAATGCGTTGGGCTCACGGACGTAAGAAATGATGTCCTTCGGTAAGGAAAAAAAACGTAAAAAAAAAATAAAAATAAAAAAAAAAAACAAAAAAAAAAGGCGGCACCACTATGCATATATATGCCTATATGCGATTTATGTATAATCGCACCAAAACCTCTCGAACATTACCGATTTGGAAGTATAAGAATAATTTAAATTGTTATTTATCGGGATTGGTCGGTAAATTTCGAGAAAGGAAATAAGAAAGTTATACAGGGTGGGTCACCACGTTTTACCATCTAGATTTACGTTATCATTATTACGCGTAGCAGACAATGTTTAACATGGAGTTGAATGGCTTTAAAAGGGGTTCATACTGATGGTACTTTTTTTTCTTTAGGTGGACGTGTCAAGGACATATGAGGGTCATTAAGGTTTTTTTAAATGAAATCATATATTTTTTATTGCATCRTCTGATGCTCTTTCATATTATTTACAAAAAAGTATTACCCTATTTATGTAAAAAAATTATTACTTTAGGAGATATTTTAATTTTTATGTCTATTTACAAAAAAGGTTCAATGTGGACCATTTGCATCAGAACACTTTCTGAATCGAGAAATTAATGACTCATTAAAGTTTCTTAATGTATCTGATGTTATTTCCTTGCATTCCTTCCCTTTTAAAGCCATTCAACTCCATGTTAAACATTGTCTGCTACGCGTAATAATGATAACGTAAATCTAGATGGTAAAATGTGGTGACCCACCCTGTATATGTATGTGGGATTCCTCTTCTCCCGTTAGTCTTCCGAACGGATATCTAATCAAAGAAAAGGAAGGAATTCCGCGATGTTGTCAAAGGTTGACGTAGAAAGAAAAAACTCTCTTTATGGATATGCAATATTTAATATAAAGAAAATAAGAATACAAAATAGTTAATGGTTTAATGAAACGTCTTTTCTT